CGAAAGAGATCACCTACAGCCCCCCAACTTTAAAGTTTAAACAAGTCCATTTTATTTACCCCAGTTTAAAATTTATGTATTTATAGGACTATAAATATATATATAATATAAATATATATATATATATATATATATAGACTGAGATATTTGATCAATAATTGGGGCAACAGGCCAATTAATCAAATTAAAAGTTGAGAAGGGCCTAAGTCCTTTGGCTCAAACTTAGGGATCCCAGAGACTATTCTATAAAATTAGATAGAGTGAAAAAAAAAAAGAAAGAAAAGAAAAGAAGAAAGAGTCTTGTGGCACTCCTTCTAGAAATAAAAATTATTGATTAAACTTTATAAATATTAAAATTAAATGTATAAGAGTTAATAAATTTGAGATAAAAGTTTGTAAAATTGGTATGTTTAAATGGGCTTTATATAAACTTTTTGCTTAATTATGTTGTGGGATAGATATGTTTCAATGGAAAAAAGCTTCCCTTCTTGCTGTTCTAAGGCTGGGCACATTTCTGTCCCTCAGAAAATATTAATTGAACAAACTAAAGGAAACCAATGGAGTTACATGAGCCGTCCTATATAACATAAAACTAAAAACTAATAATCAGTGGCTAATAAAAAAATATAATAAGAGGATTACCCTGGGTTTAACTTATAACCCAAGGAAAAGAGACCTTACTAAATGCCTTATGCAAGCTTTGGAAGACAAGATAAATTGAATCTTAAAGTTTTAAAACTTGGAATTCTTTGTTTACAGCTCTTCTCATTGATAAAAAAAAGCCAAATAAGGAGATACAATTGGGCTGAGGTCACAAAGCAGTTCTCTGGGGAACTGGAAGTGTCTGTCATTGTCTTGCAGATCAGAAATGTAAATTTAGCAAACAGTGACCTAGGACTGAGCCTAATTAGCTCAATGAGATAAAACTTAAGGCCAAAGAAATTTTTGACATTTTACAACTCAGAACCCTGATGGGTCCTTCAGAATTTGTCAAGAAATCTTAACTGTCTGTTTCATAAATAGCAAGCCTTAGTGATTTGAGCAAGCAAATTCAGCTTACTCCAACTATTATTATACCTATCTCATTAGTAAGTTTTAAAGTGAAGATATGAGATCTCTAGCTTTTGTCTGTTTATAAGCCTGCATACACATTATAGATTTGAGATATTTCTACTGCTAAAAAGAAAAAAATATCAAAGTCAAAGAGCTCTGCTTAACTGATGTAAAAATAAGAGCTTACAAATTAAGTATTTTTAAAATAAAAACTGACTATTTTGACTTTCATGTTCACATGAACTGGAAAATATTCAATATTAAGATAATACTTGGTATTGTTTAGTTTAAGTATGTTCTAATTCATATAGACATCTTTAAAGTCATCAATATTAAGTATAATACCTTCACTGTACCTAGGTTTAATGAAAGTCAAATAAGATCCTGTTATATCTCTTGCAGGTTTGTGAAAAAAATAATAGTAATGCGGTGTGATAAAATTTTAAGTAAATTAAATGCAAATGAGATGAGAATTTTGGGTAAATTTTTAAAAACATATATTTAAAATGTATGCTTAAGATAATCTCTGGTATCTAAATTCTAGAGTTGTGTAAATTAAGTTAAATGATAGGATTTTATTTAATAGCTATGCCATTTTGAGATAAAATAAGATTGAAATATGAATTACTTAACATATGACTTCCTCTTAGAGAGAAATTAAAGGTGTTTAGAAATATTAATAAATGCTTGGTGCCACTCTGAAATAGTCTGTCTTCTTAAGGGAAAGATCTCACTAACCTAGGAAAGTAAGGTAAATGTGTAAATGAAGATATAAGGAATTATATTTTGTTAATGAAAATTAGTGACTTTGTCCTGAAGCTGGTTACTTCTGAATGGAAGAAAAAATAAGGGATACACTAATACGCGTATAGAAAGCTGAGGAAGGCTTGTGGAAGAGGAACCCTGAGGAAAGAGTTTTGTACATGGTTGGAATTGGCTAAGTTTAGAATTAATTTGGGCTAAGTAAATGAATCTTAGTAGTAAGCTGGTACAAGACTAGATTTGGTTTTCTCTTTGTTCAGGGGACAAAATTTTCTTAAAATATTAATCAGCCTTCAGTAACAAATTGCAAAGCTTCTTATGCGACTTAAGTGATCTGTTGTGCCTTTACCTTTGAAATATTTTCTTGTTAATGAGTAAGTACTACTTTACAGTGATCTATACGTTTATCTGACCAAGTGTTTTGAAAACTTTTAACAAGATCCCCAAATGTCAATTTCTCATTAAAATTCTTTAGTCTCCAGTTAAATTTTGGATGTTACAAAGGGTCCCTGAAACATCTCAAAGAGAGATTTTAAAGTAGTAAGTTTCACTTGGCATGTTAAATAACATGGGAAATATTGTCAAATGAATAATAAATCTTCCCAGGTTACATTGTATGAGAAAATATTATTAATTTAGATGTTCTAGAAATTATATGGACACCCTAAAATTCTGGTATATCTGAAATGTTACCAGTCACAATTCTGGTTATTGTGACCATGTTTCTTTATAGATTACAGTGTAACGTTGTTTAACCATGCTGTTAAATCTGTTGTCATTTATAGGCAGGTAATCGTTTTCTTCTGATGATTTTGCAAAATACACTCTCTTCAAGGAGATTTACTGATTTCTAATAAATTTCAAACTATAGCACTGAAATAAACTGGGTAAGAAATTTTAAAGGTCTATTGAAAACTCTGATTAAAAGAATTAGTTACGTGGGACTGAGTAAACTGATGAATATGGTTATAATTTTTGATTTTGTCTGAAATACTACTGGCTTTTAACCTGTTTCCCAGAAATAAAGAAACTATTCTCCTTAAACTAGTTATGATTCACGGCAATTTGATAAATTATACCTATGTAAGCAGACTTAGAAGTGTTATCTTTTCTCTCTATCTGATCCCTCAAGAGACTAAAAACTTTTAGGCCCCCAGTGGCTCTATCAGATAAATTAAGAAGACCGTCTCTTAGCAGGTACAGGAACCTCAAGGTATTTTAAGGACTTCAAAAAGAAAAGAATTTACCAAAATCTGTTAGGCAGAAATCTATGACAAGCCCTTGACGGGGATTTCCTGGCCTTAGAAAACCTTACTAACATTGTAGCTTAAAAGTCCTTATTAAAATTTCCAACACAGCCAATTTAAAAGAGCCTATATGATCAAATAATCAGACATAACTTGTAAACAAATTCACCTTGATTTGACTATATTTGATAATAATGAGGGAACTCTAGAGAGAAAAAGTTATATTTTAGTGGATATTAAATTCTAGTTCTGTTAATTGAGATCTATATTTACTAAGACACTTCCCAGATCACTCCTTGCTGTTATGTCACATTGCTGTACAGTTTAACTGAATTATGAAAAGGATACACTAGCTTTGTTTCTGAAGCTGAGTAATCTATCCTTGGGTAAATTTTCAATGCCGCATGACCTGCAGCCAGGGGATTATACATACTGGAACAGGCATGACTTAAAGAACTGTTTCCAACCTGAATGGAAGGACCCTTTATCAGGTACTCTTAACTAGACCGTACATACCGAAGCTGAAGGAAACATAGTTTCGGATTCATTTCCTATCAGAAACAGCCCCTGTAGTGCACTGGCCTATAGAGCACTGCTCACCTTAAAACAATGTCCAAATGGATAAAAAGCTACCAGGCCAGGATGAGAAGGAGACGAGATCTGAGCTAGACAGCTGACCCAAGACACCGGACCAGGCCTGCATACCAATTACTTTGACAATTTCTCCTACATTTGATTACGAACTACTCCAATTGTTAAGTTTATGGTAAATTGCCTATGTTTAGTACTTCTGTGTTACATTGGTGGGTTTCCCTACTCCAAGGCTCTAACTAGATAGCCCTCAGAAACTTTACTCTAAAAAGAAATTATAGTTCTGTTTAGGCCACAGTTGATATTACAAGGTGTGTGAACTCACCTGGCCAATTAATACCTGCTCGGAGCCTGACCATAAATACGAAATTTCTCATAAGATAACTCAAACTGAATCACAAACACAAGCAAAATTTTAACCCAAAAATATAATTTCTCGACTTTTAAATTCTTAATCGTGACTTTATTAACGTTACTAGCTCTATTATCTATATCCTGTCTATTTTGTATGATTGTTTTCTCTTACATTTCCTAATGTGTAACTAGGCCTACAACAAGATTGATGATGGCAAAACACATTGAAGAAATTCATTAAATTTATAACCCTGCATAAAATAATTATAACAGTGTGATTCTATTTATGAGAATGAGCAACAAATGGTAAACATTTCCTGGATCATAATAGTCTACTAAAATAGGCTATCCAGAGAACTTTTAGTATCAACAGGCCCTGATAAAAACACCTAACACCTTGAATGGCAGGTCAGAAGATTCTTCAACCTGAAGTAGGAATGAGCCTTCATAGCACCCTGGGACAAAATTAGTCATGAAATGTCTCTCAATATATTGGTCGACTTTAGGACCAAGGGGGAGCACTGTGAATGAAAATGCTACAATGTGAATGAAAATACTGCAACCATGTCAGTAAACAAAGAATGCTGAAACCAAGTCATCAGCAGCTTCTGCCACCCCCAGCGAGGACAGGCCTGCAGCCCAGCCTAGGCAGCCACTCAGAATGGTGCCCTCTGAGAGGACTCAGAATAAGAAAGGACAGAATACTGGCCCTAGATAGCTAGGTACTTGTAAAAGGAATGAATTAATTGAGCCAAAATGTTTGCTTCCTCCCATACTTAGAAAAGCACTTAATTCTTGAACTTGAGATGCCTGGATTTCTTTAGATAACAAACAATCTTTTATTGTTCCAACTCCCTGATCCGTGTTGTAAAGTTCCTATATAATCCTAGCTCCTCCCCTACTTCTTGGGAGCAGACCCTCAGACAGATTTGAAGGCTGTCATCCCACCTCGAGTCCTCCCGCCAATAAAAGCATAACTCTAAACTTTCAGGTTACACATTTCTTTACGTGGACAAATCACAGAATAGACACAGCTCATCAATTCTGTAATGGAACAAATTCGTGTTCTAGTCCACAAAAACTACAGGTCCCTCTTTCTTCCTTTCATTATACAATCCCAGCAGAACTCATTAATTTGCTGTCTGCTTATCTGGCAACCAAACTCAGAGAAGAGTCACCTCAGCAGAGCGCCCTGCTGGGGAGAACCCCCTGCGGCACCACGGCGGGCTGCCTGCCCTCCCGCACGCTCTGCTGACCCTTGGTGTCCTCCGTGGAGACCAGGCCAACAGAGCTGTGCCCAACAGCTGCGAAGTCTCACACATTAAATAAAAGCATTTTATTTTGTACGATATGTTACGTATATACCCATCTCTGAAAATAGCTTTGCTAGAAACCCAAATCTTCAACATTAATCTGCAAAGACAATTCTGGTCCCCAAGGGAAAGAAAGTTTTAAGACCATGCTAAGTCCTCCAAAGTCCTCTCCACGACCGTCAACCAAACTGCCTGCAGGTCTGCAGCTGCAGGCGGTTACATGTCTGATTTTAAAGCAACCGCTTCCTATCCTCGGGGGCTAAATGTCCCTCTACACCCTCACATCTCAGGGTAAGAGCAGCCACTGCAGAACCTTGCACGGCAGCACTGACAGGACAGGACACAGAGGATCAGAGCTAAAGTAAGCCTTCTGATGACATGAGCTCGTCACTGTGTCACTTCACAGATGAAGATATATATAGAGAGAGGTGGGGTGATATTACTCAAAGTCACACAGCTAGTAAGTGGCATAGTCTGTAACTCTGCTCCTCCCTCCGGAGTGACGCCCCAGCTGGGACGCCCACAGGGTTCTCTCGTGCCTTCCTGATCAGTCCTTTCCTGTCACTCATAACCCACCACAGTGTCTGACCCTAGTCTGCCTTTTCAGCCTCTTCTCCCTCTTGTTCCTCAGGAAAAAGCCTGCTCGGGCCACTGTATGACTTCCGGCTTCCCAAACCCTCCGTGCTTAGGCTGGTCTTGCCTGTGAATCCGGCCACCTGCTCAGAGTCTCTTCATCCCCTGCAGGAAGATGTTTCCACTCTAAGAAGGAACACCCCCTCAGGGGAGCCATCTTCTCGCCCTCA